AAAAGAAATCTGAGGTGACACCCAATTTAAGAGCACAGAGTGAACTGTTTCATCCTACCCTTAACTCCCAGCCTGTTCTAGGAGCAACCATGACACTTTTTTTAATCTTTCAAGAATGATCCTATGCATATTTCTGTATATTTTTCATACAACTGGCATAATTGTGGTTTTTTAAATTTAATGTATAGACTATATTTACATATAGGATGATCTCATTTTTGTTAATGACTGTGTAATATTTCATTATATGATGTATCTGTTCATTCCTAGAAACAAATTTCTGGGTCAAAGGTGAGTGCATTTAAAATTTTATGTTAGTGGGCGCCTGGGTGGCGGCTCAGTTGGTTAAGCATCTGCTTTCCACTCAGGTCATGATCCTGGGGTCCTGGGATCGAGCCCCGCATCGGGCTCCCTGCTCCCTGCTCCCTTCCCCTCTGCTTCCTGCTCCCCCGGCTTGTGCCCATGCTCTCTCTCTGACAAATAAATAAAATCTTAAAAAAAAGAAGGTCCTCTAATTTTTTGATACTAGTACTAATTTAAACACTTAGGACTAAACTTTTGGTTGCTTAAATCAGATCTAATTTTCTCCTATTTTTCCTAGCTGGTAGTTTGAATATATGAAGCCTGTTGGTTTCTGGTGGGGGGGAGCTTTTCAGATGATTCTTTTGAAGTTTCCCAGTAAATAGTCTTCACTATGAAAATCCTGTGTATGTCTTTCCCAGGTTTTCACTGGTGATTTTTCTCTTGCGGGCTGTTGAGAAGAGAGCTGAGCACTGCCCACCCGCTCACCTTCGGCTCCAGAGGGAGCTCTTCTCACGCTGACCCAGTAAGCTCAGGGCGCTGGCCTGAGGGAGATGGGTTTAATCATGTTGAAGGTGTACCCATCCATTTCTTACAAATGTGAATTATGATACTTTTCTAGTTTTCTTGCCCAACTTTCCAGATTTACTCAAAGTGTCAAAATAACTGAGTACTGATAAAGCCAAGTTTGTGGAGTCTTTTTTTTCTCTTGAAAATGACCATTTTGAGAGGAAAGCAAGACAAAAGAAGATACGGGTGCTGTTTACTAAACTAAGAGCAAAGCGTGTCCATCCGTGAAAGGCCGCTGTGGGTGCCTTCAATCTTGGGCTGGGAGGACACTTGGTGTCTGGCCCTTGTTCCCACCAGCCCATTCGCTATTACTGGATCTTCAGCTTCCATCACACTCCAAATATCCTCCATGTTATTTACACCAACAGCCTCAGCCTGACCACGGTGTCGTCCCAGCACTGCTGCTGCCCATCTGGTGTCTGATCTATGCCAAGGGCTTTACTTAAATAAACTTCACAGCCTCATTTCCTAGCAACAACCTTGTCTCCAGGGAGAAAGGCTCCATCTGAACAAAGTAAGTTACTTGAAGCATTTCAGCCAAAGTTTTTTTTTTTTTTGTCCGTTACCTGGTACAAATTATAGCAATCATCTTTAATTATAAATTAGCTGTCTGCATTGCACACACACACACACACACAAAAAATGTTTATCTGCACAAGGAAAAAGGCTCTATCTAAAGGACAGCTGAAATGGATGCATGAGAAGTCAGCACTGGGAGGGAGAAATGCAGCTCACTCCAGTAATGAGACTGAACTTTCCTTGAGGACAGAGCTGGGTCTTATCCATCTATGTCTCCTGCAAAGCTGAGCAGGGGTGCAGGTCATGCTAAGTGCTCCAACATTGGCTAGACTCAGTGTAGGTTCAGATTTAATATCTATCTTGGGTCAAGCCATCTCCTATTCATTCTTGGCCCCCGACTCCACATTCTAAGTTCTAGCTAAGAATCAATCTGGTCCCTTAGGAGACTCAGAGACTCCTCTTATCAGTGCCTTTTCCCTCTGGATCATATCTGTGGTCTAAGGCAATGATTCTAAAATTTATTTTTCCAAAGACTATGGAACTATAAGTGGCAAGAGCTCCTAAATAGCTGGGCATTTGGCACAGTCTCTAAGGACACCTGAAAGCTATTATTACTCCACAACTTTCTGTGCCACTGATCCTAGGAGTCCTCATTCTTGGTCTTCCATTTCCCCTGTCACTGGAGCCAATCCATCTGTCCATCGGTTCCATTCTGGAATGTTTAAGACAAACCCACTTCTGGACTGGCTAGGTTATAAGCAGGTAAGGTGCTATAAGAGAGAAGCCACCCCCCCCCCCCACAGAGACACAGTAGCTTAGAAAAGACACGTGATTTCAGTCTCCTGTTACAGTCTGGGGGGACGTAATGGCGTGCTGGCACTGACTCTGCCGCCCTTCACAGGCTTCCAGGACGTTCTGATGGTTGCCATTCTCAGTCAGGAAGTGGACAAGAAGGAGAGCCTGCTCCTGAGGGCAGGACCTGTGAGGTGCAGACCCAGGTTGGGCTCAGAGCCCCAGGGGCTGACACAATCATATTGCCCCAACCCCCTGCCGGGGAGACAGGAATGAAGTGCCCAACTGGGAGACCATGTGCCAAAACGTGGGGGTGACAAGTTCACTGAAAGGCGGAAGAAAGACCCAGAGAAAGGGGCCAACGGCCACCACAACTGTTGCTTCCCCTTCCTCTGAGACTGTTCCCGTGAAGGGGGCGGTGGGGCCCCCTGGTGGCCACGGGGGCTGCTGCAAGTCCGGAGTAATTGGCCCCAGGCTCTCCCACCCAAGGGCTCAGCCATGAAGAAAATTACACAACAAGGTTTACTCTGTTACTGTTTAATGTGGAACAGGTGGAACAACGTATAGGTCCGTGAATAGGTCAAGTTTTCAATAAATCAGGAAACACCGGTGGTACTGAACACTTGGCAGCATTTTGTGTGTGTATGCACATACACATATATCTCAAGATGAAAAATACTGCTAAGTGAAAAAAGGTTCCTGAACTATATATGTAAAAATGTCATGAAATCCCACTTTAGGATAAAGAAAATGCAATTACAGTTAACCCTTGAAAATGAGTTTGTAATCATAAGCATGTCCACATATATGGATTTAAAAAAAAATTACAGTACGGTAAGTGTATTTTCTCTTCCTTATGACTTAATTAACATTTTATTTTCTCTAGCTTACTTTATTGTAAGAATATAGTATATAGTACACATTACATGTAAATTATGTGTTGATCAGCTGTTTATGTTACTGGCAAGGCTTTTCTGGCCAACAGTAGGCTGTTAGTAAAGTTTTAGGGGAAGTCAAAAGTCATATGCAGATTTGCATATGACTACCCCCCCGCCCCGTGTCGGTCAAGGGTCCGCTGCACATCATATATTCATATGCATGACAGACATGACTGTAAATGGGTAGGTGTGTTTCCAGAAGGACAAACAAACTCAGCATCACCACTGGGAAGGGGGCCTCAGATCGTGAGCGGAAGAATGAAGGGGAGGTGGGCATCAGGAGAAGCAAGAATACAGAGCTACTTCTGACTTTTTACTATATTTCTGTGTCTTTGTGGTTTTTTTGTTTTTGTTTTTTATAATGACTGCATAGTTCCTCATTTAAAAATGCCCAGCACATGTTCAAGTTAAAAAATTTAGGTTGCCACTCAGTACACGGGGTGCATAATATTTAGTATAACGACACGTGTTAGCTCTACAAAGAAGAGCAGCCTGGAGGCCAGCAGGACTCCATAAATCCCACCAGATGGGTCAGCGACACCCCACCTTCCGGGAGTCATCATGGTAACGAAATTCTCAAGCAGCAATGCTGAATACCAGGTGTGGCTTTGAACCAGGAACAGCACTCTGGGAGAGCAAGCTCGCCCGCCCTCCTCCTCCTTCAGCCCCACAGTCTTGGGAGGGAGATACCATCTATCCCAACTGCAGGGGAGAAAAGGGGACACACAGAGATTATGGGGCATGGTCAGTGGGGAGGCAGGGTATCATACCAGACGATCAGGCCCCAGAGTCCGTGCCCCAAATCTTGGCTTTGCTCCTACACCAGAGGTCACCTTCAGAACCGAGGAAAAGGCAGCCCCCCCCCCAAGCTAACTTCCATTGTCACTCTGACAGGACACATGACTCAGGCCTCACTGCACTCGGAGACCTCAGGTCAGGGACCCCTGCCTTACAGCGGGGCCCGGGACGAGGTACAGAAGAATGAGGAGCTATATCCTGACAACGTGCTCAAAATGCAATTGTGAGGTACAGTAGTCCGATTTGTAGAGACGGAAGGTAGAATGGTGCTTGCCGGGGCCTGGGGGACGAAGGGGTAGCCAGTATGAAGATCAAAAGTTCTGGAGATCTGTTGCACAACAATGTGAATATACTTAAAGCGACTAAACTATACGCTTAGAATTGGTTATGGTGGGGACTTTTATGTTATAAGTATTTTCCACAATTGAAAACTGTGTTAATAAAATGATTTTAATTTCCCAGAAGGAGCGTGTCACTGCATTGGGAGATTTCCAGCTGGGGAAAGTGACCTCGGAGAGAGACTCAAAATCTTGCTATCGATGTCATTTAATTAAAGAAGCTTTGAGAGCCTGCCCCAGAAAAAGAAGCAATTGTGACAGAATTTTCTTTTCACATTCATGTTTTTTGTCATTTTGAATAAACACCGCATCAAAGAGCTTCTATACTAGATATATTCCTTTACCATATTTAAATATTCAAAAGTCATTCGCGTAACACTGTAGCACAGGATTTAATAGAATAGCAAAATATCATATAAAAATACATGAAAAGCTTTCATAGCCCCATGGAAAGGACTTCTCACACGTACGTACGGACATGTGTAAGGTAAGTGCTCCTCATAATCTCTTCATAGATTTGCCCCTCCTTACTGCTCTGATCAGACCCCAGAACCACCCCAGGCGGGGCACATAGAAGCAGCCTCTCCACAGCTCTCCACCGACCACTCAGGGCAGGTGCGGCCGAAGTGCAGGCTGGTCAGGGCACAGAGACAACTCGGGCTGGGAAAACCACCTCCAGACCGCATGCGCGAGACGTGATGGCAGCTTAGCCTGGTTTCCAGGTGTGGACCCTTCCAGGCCAGAATCACGCACTGTTTTCAAAATTGGGATTCTTGGGATATATGTCACCGGGCGAGAAGTTCAGAATCTCATCCAAGGAAGGGCCTTCATCCTCTGGAGCAATTTCGGACTCAAACATCTGCTGCAGCAGGGCGTCCACGGTCCTGTACTCTGGGAGGAAGGAGAAAGGCACGTGGAGCTCGCATGTGTTGGAGTTGGAAAGGAGCAGCCCGGGCAGAGCTTGGCTTTCTGGAAGGATGTCTCCTGAGTCAAATACAATGCTCTAAGCATTGGCTAGCCAAACAATCTTTGAAAGAAAGGATGAAGAAGTCAGAAAAGAATCACTCATCTCTGCTGGTGTGGACTCTACGGAGCTCCACAACCAGGCAAGGCCCTGGAGACCAAGGAGCAGGTCTTCCCTGAAGGACAGAGGAGGGTAACTCCTGGTAGGGGCATCCTGCTCATGCCACTGCTCCTGGAATCTATGCTGTGCTCCTCATTCTGAGTTAAGTGCAGGCGCCCCGGCCAAGGCCCAAAGTGACAGGTTGCTCTGGGTTACTCAGCCCACCGCTGATTCATGGAGAATAAAGCCCTTTAGACTAAGTTGTGAAGGGGCCCCATGCCCTGGACACAGAGTGAGGCACTGGGGATACCACTGGAGGCAAAAAGACAGGGCCCAGCACACACGGAGCTTCAAGTCTACAAGGAAGACAGATGGTGATCAAACTGTCACTCGACGACAAAATGGCATGCAGCCGGCATGGCGGGTCAGATTTGCATTCTGGAAACACCTCACCAGCTGCAGTGAGGAGCATGGATTAGAAGAAGTTTTGCATTGGGTTAAAACTTACTTTTTGATGCAATTCTGAAGTACAATCCTTTCAAAGCCTTCCCTTTGTTGTCTCCATCATCTCCACTAAAGCCACTGTCCTTGGTGTCCATGTTATCAACGAGCTTCCCATCCTGCATTTCTTCTCTTCAAGGAAGAAGAGACATGAATAGGGTCAGGTCCCTCAGCTGAGTCCCTCACGCGTCCTCCCAGCCATGGCCCCGTGGCACCATCCAGCCACAGCCAGGGCTCTCCTCTGGTCAGTGAGGGTCCCTGAGGATGGCACACAGGCCCATGATGGACGCCATGGGGCACTGAGGGAGTGAACATGGCCGGTGAGTGACGACACCAGAGGGAACCCACTACTCACTCTTGGATTCCCACTCCAAGCTCTTGAATCTTCTTCTCGATGGCAGTTTCGACTTCACTTTTTTCTAAGGAGTACGCCACAAAAAATGCCTCCAAGATGAACGCTATGAAAATACTGAGAAAGGATGAGGGGTAAGGGTGTGAGCCGTGGTCCAGGCAACAGGGGATCCTCGTTCCAAAGAGTGTCTGAGCCGAAACAGGAAGGCAAATAGTTGCAAAGACAACACAACGCGGAAGGGAGAAATGACAGACGCAACATCTCTCAAGGATTGGACACAACTTGCCAATCTTCTGGTATAACTTATTTAAACAGTGGATATTAAAAAGAAAATATGGTTTCTTTTTTTTTTAAAGATTTTATTTATTTATTTACTTGAGAGAGAGAATGAGAGAGAGAGAGAGAGAGCATGAGAGGGGGGAGGGTCAGAGGGGGAAGCAGACTCCCCGCTGAGCAGGGAGCCCAATGTGGGACTCGATCCCGGGACTCCGGGATCATGACCTGAGCCGAAGGCAGTCGCTGAACCAACTGAGCCACCCAGGCGCCCAATATGGTTTCTTTCTAGGGGAAGCTTAAGGCAAATACTTGCTGGTAAACAGTTCTCCATGAATATCTCAAGTTTCTGCACAGCCCAGGTGGTCTGAGCAAAGGCACTGAGGGCCAACTTAGGGCTGTTTGTCTATGGAGACATCCCAAGATGGAAAGCTCAGCGATGCCCCCGCCCCCAGACCGAGTCCAGGATAACAAAGATAAAGAGCTCACCTTGCCCTCCCTGGGGATCTGCTTACATTCCAGGTGAAACTAAAGTCCCTCTCTCTCTCTCCACAGGGGAGGACAAACAAGCCCCAGCAGCCCTCTGTAAGATCAGTTCCCTTCTTTTGGGGTTCCCTCCTGCACTCGCACTCCAGCTGGTGCTCGCCACCCTGCTCGGTGGGGACAAAGGTTCGGGAAACCGACACAAAGTATTGCGCTGCTGCCGATTTTGCCACAAGTAATAAACTGTCTTTGTCTCCGACCCAAGGTGCCGTGCTTTCTGTCCGTGCCTCTCCGGGCTGGCTGGCAAGTAGGGGAGACTCTCAGACCCTTCACCATTCCCGACGTAACAGCGATGACGATGGAGCCCAGGGCTCCCACAACCCCCACTTGCTCCTGAGAGGAGAGCGGCAGAAATACCCCCGCCCCTGCTGGTCCCAGCGCTCCGGCAACCTCTGCAGGAGCCACCCAGAGAGGCGTTTCTCTCTTGTTCCCTCTGCGTCTGCCACCCAGGCTGTGTAAGGACAAGCAGGCCTGATGGGAGCTACGCACGGGCTTTCTTCCCTTCCCCTCCCCTCCCCTCCCTCGGCCAGGATTCTCGAGTCATTCTGGAGCCAAAGTCAGTACGACGGTGGCCGGCCACAGCGGGCCTGGTGTGACAAGGAAGGCACAGGTACTGGGCTGTCCCCCCAAAAATGGCAGGCCCCAGGCTGTGAGAGGGGTACGACAACTGGAAAACCCTCTCTGGAAGACCATTCCAGCCATCAAGGGGACTCAGGCTCAGGTCCCATGAGGAACCAAGGAGCTAGAATCAGAGATGCTGGAACAGAAGCGCTTCCAAGTGGTCGGACGTCACAGCGCTCTCAAACAGTGACTGAGGCCTCTCCTGGAAGAGGGGCCAGGACAGACCAGGGGCGCAGGGCCGTCCCACTTGTGCAAGGACAGGGACGGACCAGAGAGGGACAACTAGGGAACTGACTCTGAGGCTCTGAGAAGCCACCAGATGGCTGGATTTGAGCAGAGGGTGAACGGTACGCTCAGGGATGCTCTCAAGGGATTCAGTCTGGGTGGGGAAGGGGAGGGAGACTGGCCGGGACCCTAGGGTCCTTCTGACCCAAACAACTTACGGGACTATGAGGCATGTATCCTATACAGATGTGCACTGGCAGACAATGATAAACACAAGTGCGAACAAAAGTCAGACCAAGGGAGAGGGGAGGAGACGTGGACTTGCCAACGGGGCAGGAGTCAACTCACTTGACGATGAGAATGACGACCACAACATGGAAGGTGATGAAGTACAGCTTTGCCGCCTGGTGAGTCACAAGGGCAAAGCCGCCTGCGAGGAGTACGCAGCTAAGGAACCAAACCTTCGGGGAGCTCGGCAGGTGCCCTGGATGTTCCTGAAAGTTCCCCTGGGCGCCCCACCCCCACCCCACCCCACCCCAGGGAGCAGGCAGCCCCTGGGGGTCGGACGCCTTCGCAGAAAGGATATTGTGCCACTGGTTAACCACCGTGAGCTCCATCAGCACGATGAACGAGGAGGCCAGGTCATTGAAGTTATTCTTGCAGTACCTGTCTCGGGCAAATGCTGAGTCTTTCAAGGCTGGGTTCCCACACACCAGAGCATCGGGGGTGGTGAAATTTGGGTCGAAGAACCGGACTTTGCCGTGGAATGCTTCCATCCCGATGATGGCGAACACGTAGTAGACCACCTGTGATGGGCAGCCCTGGTCAGCAGGGGGCGCGCGGAGCCGCAGCATCACGGGGCCAGGAGCGCGCCGAAGACGCTGGAGGACTGTGGACGTGGGTCACCCCGGCAGAAAGGGATGCTACTCTGATTCCGGGGTGGCTGCCCTCCCCAACCCAGGCCCAAGCAGTGTCAGGGTGGGGAGGGGTGGACGCAGAGGGACAGAAGACACGGCCAGCGGGACCACATCGCGACCTCTCCCATGGGCTAACAGAGTCAAAAACAAAGCTGCTGGGCAAGTGAGTGGCTTGAGTACTGAATAAACAATGGTTGGTCCTCTAAAAAAAATAATAAAGTTGTATCTTTACCCTGTTTTTTTATAGGAAAATAAATTCCAAAAGTACCATAAGGTCGAATGCAAAAAACAAACCAGGGAGGAATTGGAAAAAGAAAAAATTGAGTAAGAAAAGGCCCCACTACGCGTGACTATAAAAGTTAAAAGATTTAAAAATATCTATAAAATAAAAGATTAGCAAATAGGACTATATAATTAATTTAAATTTTTATACAGCCCCCCAAATATACAACAAAAATCCTTTATGCAGGAAAAAAAAAAAAACTCAAAAAACAAGTGACGGAGAAGGAAAAGTAATTCCACTGTAAAAAAACTTACCAACAGCCTATTTCCTTAACTGGCAAAACACTCCTGCAAATCTTATTTAAAAACGAATAGAAGAATAGGCCAAGGGTATGAACACGCTGTTTACCGAAAAATAAGCGCGAGCGCCCAAAAGAACCTGGAGAAGACACTCCGCCTCATGAAACGTGACAGAAGTGCACGTCGGAGCAGCCTGGTGCAATTCTCTCCCCCAGATTGGAAGACAGGGCAATGATTCGGAAACCCCAGCTGCGGGGGAGAGGGGGGCGGCAGAGAGACAGCCTGTGACACGCTGTCATCTGGGATACACGGGGAGCGTGCGTTCGGAAGGCCACGTGCCACCATCCACCCGAGGTCTGAACGCATTTCCCCTCTGACCTCGCAGCGCCGTGCCCAGGGCTGTATCCAGTGGGAACGGAAGCACTAAAATGCAGGTACAAGAACGGCCCTCCCCACATCACTTGTAATGGCCAAAAGGTGACAGCACCCAGTGGTCTGTCAGTAGAGGGGCTGGTCGGTTGTGTTCTGGAGTCTTCCCTCCTTTTATTTTTATTTTTTATTTTATTTTTTTAAAAGATTTTATTTATTTATTTGTCCGAGAGAGAAGGCACAAGAAGGGGCGGCAGGCAGAGGCAGAGGGAGAGGCAGGCTCCCCGCCGAGCAGGGAGCCCGATGTGGGACTCAATTCCAGGACCCTGGGATCATGACCTGAGCCGAAGGCAGACGCTTAACTGACTGAGCCGCCCAGGCGTCCCCGTGGGACACTTTTAATCACAGCAGAGCCAACACGATATGTGTGTCCTCCAGGACATATGACAAAGATATCAGGTGGAAGAAAGGCAACATTGTGTGTGGATTGTTCCATCTGACTAAACAATAAACCAGACACATACAGGCATGTCTGGGGTATACTTGTTGTATACATAGAGATATTTAGGAAGAGTAACAAGAAACTTTTAGTAATGGTTGTCTCCGGGAAAGACGCATGTGGGGAATGGAAAGGGGTGACCTGAAGTCAGCCTTCCATTCTTGGGTAAAATGGGATTTCTTACCATGATAACAGAAAAGCGAAGCGAGGGCCCTGTGGCAGAGTGACCACGTATCTGAGCCCCTCATTCACAGCGTGGGACCTCTCCTGAGCGGGAGGCACCAGCACCTCGAAGCCCTGGGTGGCTGTGTTCTCACCCTGGGGATGTGAGGAGCAGGTGGGCTCTAGCCACAAGCAGAACAAAGAAGGATCTGAGGCCTCACAGCCATGAGCCAGAAGGAGCCTACACCCCCCGAGGAGCATCCGCTAGCCAGGCAGGCAGACCCACCTAGCCCGTGGGTGACAAAGAAACCACGACTGAGTTAGCCCACTGAAGTTGTGGTGTCTATCACAGTAGCCGGTGAACCTTAACTGCTATATGCCCCGTGTTTCCCGACCCTGGATATTTCTAAAAAGGACGACAAGAAACCAGTGAGTCTCATTTACTTAATCTCCCTTTCTTTTCCTCGCTTCGAATAAGGCTTACCGAGAGCTGCCAAGCATGAACACCTTACCACTTATTCACGTAGAACTGGCCACAAGAACAAGCCACTTACCAAGACGAGTCCACCAAACGTCAGTATCGTGGGACCGATGTTAATTAAGGTGGTCACGATAAGCCGGAATCTAAGATGAAACAAAGTTTCTAGCACAAGACGGCAGAAGGGAAGCCGTGAGGTAAAACTGACACCACACCAAGCAGGTTTGGTTTCTTCCCCCGGGGCCTGGACCTGTTCCTTACACACCGTCAGGAATTTGCCCATTTAGCTGTGCACCCCTGGGGAGTCACTCAACCTCTCTGAGCTTCACTGTCATCACCGGTGAACAAAGGATAATAAAGGCCCCTATATCAAGGGTGGCAGGAGGAATTTCACAAGACAACGGATGGCACACTTGGGAGCATCAGCGGCCCCCACGGCCACTGCTATGCAGTCACACACAGCGTGCACGGTGAGGGAAGGGGCCCCGGGGACTAAAGCGATGGACAGAACGCTTGCCCTCAGGGAGCTGCCACCTGAGTGCTCTTCACCATCTTCGCTGGCTTCCCTCCCCACCCCGAGAGAGCGCCGGGTCCTCCATGAGAGGTACATTTGGGGCTCCTAATGGGATGTGTTGACCGATCGGAGGCAGGAGTGGTTTCTGGCAGGCTCCAGCGGGGGAACCACCCGAGGGCACGTCGCTCCCTCTTTACCTCTGAATGCTGACAATGATCCGTAAGAGCCGGAGGATCCTCAATATCAAGACGATATCCAGTATCTGCTGACTGTTGTATTTTCTTGCTAGAAAGAAAAAGCACAATCATTTAACATTCCGTTTTGTGAGTGCCTCTGGCTTGTCCCTTCTATTCAGTGAGGTCTGAGACTCTGTGGGTTCAGGAGGAGATTCGGCTTCACTTCCAGAGCCCGACAGTAGCTCTGGGCAGTGAGGAGGTAAGTGCTGCCTTGAATGGCTCACCCCCACCCCCCACCCCCCGCAAAGCCGAGCCACCCCAGACCTTCCCTCCCAGCCCTGAGCTAGAGAATCCTGAGAGTCGGTGTAGACTTCAGGCCGTCTTCAAGAAATGACTGTGGAGGGCGCCTGGGTGGCTCAGTTGGTTAAGCGACTGCCTTCGGCTCAGGTCATGATCCTGGAGTCCTGGGATCGAGTCCCGCATCGGGCTCCCTGCTCAGCAGGGAGTCTGCTTCTCCCTCTGACCCTCTTCCCTCTCGTGCTCTCTATCTCTCACTCTCTCTCTCTCTCAAATAAATAAAATCTTTAAAAAAAAAAAAGAAATGACTGTGGATCAGGTTCTACAGAACACATTTCTACAAGCCCTTCCTTCCCCAACATTCCTTTCATAGAGTCCTGTGAAGAAGCTGCACCACGTCTAAACAACGCCCCCTGCTGTCTACAGGGAGGAGTGTGCGCTGTGGTGGTGGCGGGAGGTGCGGGTGCAGCCAGGGCAGGCCGACACAAGAGGGCAGTGGGCCAGGGATGATGCAGCGTTCCAACCGCGGCTGGACCTCCGGGGGGCGGGCAAGACCGGCAGGGGGTCAAAGCACGGAGGTTAAGCCGTGAGACTGAGGGCAGTTTTGGAGAGGAGAGGCCCGGGTCGGTATCTGGTGTGACAGGTGAGTACGAATGCAATCTCTAATATACAGCTAAACACAAAGCCACCAGCCCTCTCCAAAACATGCAACACTTCTACTCATTCTCTTGTGTCTCCACTGCCCCATCCCAAATGCCTTCCTGGTGCACAAGTTCAACGAAGACTACGCATACACACTGAATGCATGACCCCAGGAGGTGGCGCCGCCGAGAGCCCATGGCACTGACCTGACCGAATGGTGGTGCTGGCCACAGTGACCACCAGGGCCGTGACGACGATCAGCGTGTCGAACCTAACAGTGCAGAAGCAAAGCTGGTGAAGGATACAACTGATCCCGAGAAAACTCCAAATCCAGTATCTTACGCAAAGCAATGAACCAACCATGAAACTGATTACTGTAACTTTTAGAACAATGGAGACGAAGCAAGAAACACTACATTTGAATGATCCAATGATCATTCCCTGGCCGCTCCAGTGAACCACCCAAGGGAATCTGTAGCAATCAGCCAATTCTTATCACTTTGTCTTCCAAAATAACTATATCCTTGCAAGAATACTTTGGCACATTTTTCAGAATACACAGTATAATCTCTCTTGGCATTAATTTTACTAAGTCCATTGTAACTTTTTAGTTAAAGGGGATAATATCCATCATAGCGTTACTTTTCTTTCTGACAACAGTGCCAAAGCACCAGACAAGACTAGCTAGTTCCCCTTTGGCCACATGCGCATCCTAGGGAGTTTCCCGGCACCGAGAGCAGTGATCACAGAGATCCAACCCTGGCAAGGTGTGCACTACGTAAGACAGGCCTGTGTGTGCCCTGTGTCTTTGCATCCTGCACTGAGGTGGTCTGCAGCACGCGGGTGATGGTTCGAGACCAGGAGGTACCTAGTCTGGAGAAGAAAGAGGCCACAGGTGACACATCCGTGTAGGAAAGAGCTTGTTAACGATCTCATCATCCAAGCACACACATTCCAAGTTCTCTGATAAAAAGACGAGGGAGTGGGCCGAGGGAGCTATGGAAGGGCCTCATTGGGTATGATATTCCAAGATCCTTTCCAAACCCAGGATGCCACGATCTGTGATTCTAATTTTAGCTAGAGTCGGTTCAAACTGACATCATAAAATAACAGCTTCGTCAGACCCGTATGTTCCCACACCCCCAAGATTTCATGATAAGATGCCCCAAAAGTAGGCAGCTGGAGCTTGGGAAAACTACAAGGAGATTCCCCAAACTGACAGAAACCTCCCCGCCGACTTTGCCCACGGCCTCTGCCCCACCCCCTCCCCAGAACACACATGCTCACCAGTTCCAGAACTGTTTCTTGCCAAAATAGGCTCTGGGCTCGTATGTGTACAGTTTCAGGAGAATTTCAATAATATAGAGAGAAAGGAAAAGCCACTCTGCATAGGAAATGAAGGGGTTTTTCTCATCCAGAGCGATGAATATGGCATTTATTAGAATGATGACATCATAAACCCAGACAAAGATCCTGCCGTGAGAGAAAAAGGAGGAGATCCTGTCATCCCACGTTTTAGGGAAAGGAACACGTTCAGAGCCTTTTAGGGGGTACTTTGTTCCCCACGATGTGATGACTATGAGATGCTCCCCAACCCCCACACACATGCACACTCGTGACTCAAGTAAGTAAATGTTCCAGCATGGCCAGGGTCCTGAAATTCACCTGCCTCCCCCTGATACTGGCGCAGTCCTTCCGGCCAAGGAGAAAATGAAGACTCAGTGACCAGGGGGTGCGGGTGGGGAATAGAGGCATGGTTTTCCCAGGTCCCCCTCTGGGGGCACAGTACCTGGATCAGATGAAAGCTTAGGCAGAAATGGGGCAAGGAGAAGGTTTAGGGCTTAGCATGGGATCATGACACCTCTAGTACTTGTCCCTAGAAAATTAACATCCTTAACTAAGAAAGCTTCTGAAAACCTCTTCACCCCTAATGCACACAAGCCTTCCAGGGGACTGACATGTCCATCTTCCTCACCGAGTCTGGGGTGGAATGTATCAGAGCTGGGCTCTGTGGTAACTTTGCAATTACAGAGCAGGCTGCTCTGCTCAGGTACCTGTCCCCTGTGCTCCAGAGAAACCTGGCTGAACTCTAGGCATGGCCTTGGGAAGGTAGGAGGGGCTCCTACCCCACTGTTCTCCGTGAGGCTGTAGACTAGGACCCTGGATGCCCCACGTGGACACACAAACTCCAGCACATGAAACACATCAGTAATTCAAGGCCGGGATTAATGGGAAGAAGCGTCTACATAAACGGCTTTGATAAATACCAAATATGAGCAGCTAATACGGTGTGCCCACATCACAGGCTGAGCCACTTTCCGGGACTTCTGAACTATTCTCTTCTATGAAACACTAAATTCAAGGGCAGCAAGAGGATGAGCCACTAATGACAGAGGCACTCCAGGCCACACATATGAAACCTAAGATCTCCAACCAGAATAAATGATTCTTTCTGGAGTCCACTTACTTGAGAATAAGAGAATTAATTGGCCTTCTTAACAACCTTTCTGATAACTCAAATTCATGAGTTTACCACAGACTTTACAAAGTCAGAGTGCCATATGTGAAATCAACTGCCTAATGACTTGGATGGGGCTAGAACCTTCTGATTTCAGAGAGCAGTCAGCTTCTCTGGCTCAGAGAGCACATCCAGTCTGTGGCTTGAGCATCTTAGTATATAGGGCAGAAGGAAGCATAATCGAGAAGCCTGTCCTTTTGGTTAAGGTCACACACAGCACGTCCAGAACCTTTTACAAGCCTCCCTGTGAAAACCAAAAGCAGCAAGCAAGGGGCTGATTTATAGCTTCAATAATGAAATATATTCAGTCCAGACAGCATTTGCAAACTCCTCTATTTTTAAAGCAACTTGAGAAAAAACCAGCCCCATCTCACTTGCCTGTGCCGAACCATCCTCTGGACCAAGAGGCTTGCAGACGACTGGTATACCCAAGGCATCCACTTTTCCAGCGGGTGTCTCTTGATGTTGATGGTGACCACCTGAATGTTGAGGAGGTCAGCCAAGCGTAGAAAGTTCATTTTGTCTGCAATGTAAAAAAAAATTGATCCCAAATACACGGCCACTGTGACATTAAGGTTCAAAGGGTGATGCCAAGTCAGCGCAGACTCTTGTTTCTGCATTTCCTAGGTGAAGATCTGAAGCTTCAAAGGGTGAAGGCCCAAGGTCAAGGAGCCAGAAGGTAGCAGAGCCCCTCATCTGCCCTCACTAGACCTGCAGCCGACCCAAGGTGGTCAACCCTAGCATGTGATTTTGCTAGTTCACAGAGGCCACTCCCTCACCCCCTGCCTTCCACCCACCTTCCTCCTCACATGGGCCATCCCTGCTTTCAGTGTCTGCCTGACTTACCTTTCCAGCCTCAACTCCACCTCTCCTTCCTCTCCACCAAGCCTCCAAGGTAGGTGTAATCCACACCCTTCCCCTCAATCCCCTATCCTCTTCTCTGCCCACCCTCCCTCCCTGCCCCTTCTCAGAGATTCACTCAAACCCTCAGTTTCCACAGCAAGTTGGCCACCAGCCAGGCCAAAGTTCACTGGGTGCTTTCTTGACCAGCCTGGCCCCATGTGACTACTGAGCTGGTGTTCTCCAGACCCACTGAATGCCCAAGGTCACTACCCCACACACCTCTCCCCAACCAGACAGGTCGGATGCTGACCATGAGTCCACTTCCTGCTCTGTACAACTTAAAGAATTTCACCTCAAGGGATGAAATCAGAATGTGTAAAGAATATTGCTGCTTCCTAGCAAGTTCTTCTTACAACTTCTCTCCCAAGTTTCCTTGAAAACCAAGTTGAAGTTTAGAAACTTTAAAGAAGTTTGGAAAATTTAAAGAAAGCTGTTGAAAGAAATCACGGGGATGCCTAGGTGGCTCAGTCAGTTAAGCATCTGCCTTCAGCCTGGGTCATGATCCCAGGGTCCTGGGATCGAGCCCCGCATCGGGCTCCCTGCTCACAGGGAGGCTGCTTCTCCCTCTGCCTGCAGCTCCCTCTGCTTGTGCTCTGTCTCTCTCTCAAATAAATAAATAAAATCTTAGAAAGAAAGAAAGAAAGAAAACGAAAAGAAAGAAAGAAACAAAGAAAACAAAAGAAAGAAAGAGAGAGAAAGAAGAAAGAAAGAAAAAGAAAAAGAAAGAAAGAAAGAAAAAAAAAGAAAAGAAAGAAACCTCCAGTGCAAATCGGGTCTAGCTGAGACAACTGGCAAAGGTTGGGTTGGGCATTTTTACATCCTGGAAGGCTTCCCATTCAGAGGGCTTGGCGGTTATCCACGGCTCCATTCCAGTTTTCCGGAGCAAATGAATGATGGCTCTATAGCTGTCACCACAACGTGGACTATTCGAGAAAGATGATGCAGAACGGCCATCAACAGATGCCCAGGCAAAGAACAAGCCTCAGCCCTGGCAGAAGTGTGGCCTCATCTGAGGGAGGAGCCTGAATCAGACACAGCCTTGGGTGATGTCACACACTCAAGTTGCTATTTTCCCTAATAGTTGTAACGGTCCTAAAAACATGAAAGAACATAAGTCCATCAAGTTCGATGAAAAAACACACATAGGTATCTTAGAATATCCAAGTTCCTGGGTCTTCGGAGTTTGAGGGAAAGTAAACATACATGTCTTAACAGCCAAAGGCATGTAACACCCACTCAGGCGCAAGTGCAGCCTTGGAGAATTAGGGGACAGGGTAACTGGGGTCCAGGGGCCTGGTCTGCATGAGCTCCACCATCAGCGGTCAGGGAGACAATGACGTGACAGGCATGGGTAGGATTTGGGTGACCTACTGACAGGAATCCAGCCAAAACATCACTCATTAAACATCCTAAACCAAAAGGGAATCTATTAGTCTCACTTGGTTCATATCTTTTCATCCAGAAGATTCAGTAGAACAAGAAAAAACAAAGAGAATCAAAAACATAGTGATTCTGTGTTAAGAAGGAACTTGTATCCATCTGATATTCTATGTTGAGGATCAGAGGTCAGCTAACTTTTTCTATAAAGGGCCAGATAGTAAATATGTTAGGCTTTGTAGGCCATATGATCTCAATTTTAACTACTCAGTTCTGCTGGTATAGCAGGAAAGCAGGAATGAGCATGGCTGTGTTCCAGTAAAACTTTATTCCACAGGCCATGTTTAGCCTGTGGACCATAATCTGCCAACCCTTGTAGATACATGACTTGCTTCATATTCTCTTTGTTAATTGTTCTATTCAGCCCTTTTCTTCCCATACTGGTAAGTTTGTGTTTCTCAGTTTAACACTGGATTAAGTTTTAACACTTTGGGTACTAACAGAATTCCAGTGTTTAGCCTTGGAAACCACAAACGCTCATAACTGCTGATCAAAGGGAAAAGTGAGAATATTCACAGAAGGATTGCCATCCCCTCCCTGTACAGAGTGCAGGCTGCCATGAAGCATGTAACTCTGCTCAACTTTCTGTTATTAAAACTGTCTTTGAAACTGTTAGTTGAACAAAGGAGTCTTTTGGACACCCAGACATTAGAAATTACTGCTATCTCCCATAAAATATAATCTATGGTCCCTGAAAGCTGACAAATTTCATTGGCTGTCTTGCATAAAGATGTGGTTTCCCTGGTAACAGTATTTAAATCAACAGTGCTATTTGGCAAAAAGTAAAATACTGGGAAGTCTATTGAGCCATAAGCTCACTGACACTTTTAAAATGATTTTCTTCTTGATGAATGTGCCTTCCAGATAAAACCCTGAATTAACAAATTGGTTTATAAAGTCTGACCCCCACAAGTATAAAATATATAAAACAACAAACTATTAATTTAAACAGTATTTCTATAATTTCTTAAGAAAATCAGATGAGAACCAGGAAATTTTAGCTTTATTTAATGTTCTTAGTGTCTATACCTAGTTAAAAAAGTTTTTTACAAAGATGTGCAAATTAATAATAGGCCAACAATTAGTAGTTGCAGAACGCCATTGGGGGAAAAATAACATTAATTTCTTTGGTAAAAGAGATACAGGTTAAAGATCTGGTTTAAAAGTTTAAATCTTGGGCGCCTGGATGGCTCAGTTGGTTAAGCGTCTGCCTTCGGCTCAGGTCATGATCCCAGGGTCCTGGGATCGAGCCCCACATCGGGCTTTCTGCTTGGCAGTGAATCTGCTTCTCCCTCTGCCTTTCCCCTTGGCTTGTGCTCGCTCTCTTGCACTCTCTCTCTCAAATAAATAAATAAAATCTTAAAAAATAAATAAATAAAGTTTAAACCTAAAAACTTCTGACTGAGGATTAAAATGTCATAAAATTACTTCATTAATCAAATTAAAATAATTTAAAATTTTAATCCAAATTGATTTAAGGCTCCCCATAAAGAAAAACTAGTAAATTACGTTGTTTTGTGATTTAGGGTTTAAAATGTGGCTTCGTGTCTTTTTCCTGATTTTATCCAATGTAAATACAAAATGCAAATACGGTATTTTAGTTCATGTACGATTGCTTTTCCCCAAAGAGGCCAACACGGCGGGAACTTCTCACACCCCCCGTCCTTGTCTTACAGGTCAAATGGTGTCATGATGTCAGCTAACGTTTAGGCATCCATAAACCTAAACATCAGCTAGAACCATAGGGCATGATTTAAACTGTGGTTTAAAAAGCTGGGTCTTCATCAGTCAGCTTGTGTAAATCTCACACAACATTATAAAATCACAAGGCCCGGATGCCTGGGTGGCTCAGTCGGTTAAGCATCTGCCTTCGGCTCAGGTCATGATCCCAGGGTCCTGGGATCAAGTTCCACATCGGGCTCCCTGCTTGGCGGGGGGTCTGCTTCTCCCTCTACCCCTCCCCCTTGCTTGTGTTCTCTCTCTCTCTCATACTCTCTCTCATTCTCTTTCTCTCTCTCTCTCTCAAATAAATAAATAAAATCTTTAAAAAATAATAAAAATAAATAAATCACAAGGCCCTGTAGAGTTGCCTGTGTCAACTCTGTGGACACCACATGCAGAATTTTCTACTTCTCTGACAAATCCTTAGTGTCAGCAATGGATCAACTACCTATGATTTCTTAAACGTATTTTCTAAAATTACTAATTGAGTTGGGGGCATTGGACTAATGAATGTTGAGATAAATAGTCAACAATCTGGATTTACCTAAGACTTCCAAAGAAATTAAAATGTTATGTCCCTATGTACAAGCAGATTTTTTCTTCAGGGCACCCAAATTAAAATACTATATAATAATTGTCTTCATCATGCCATAGAAACTAGAGTTTTCAAGCTTTAAATCAAGCATATGCATCAGCATGACAATTTGTGTGTATGTCTATAACAAAGCACATTAACATTAATAGATGAAATTCAGAACAGGCCCATCAGGCTCTTCGCGTGAGGTACAGAAGGTTGGTCACTGCCATCTCTGTCTTTGGCCCAGGCAGCTGGATTTGCAGCCCTTGCCCAAGGAGATTCTCTTATTACTCACAAGACTGCAACACTTCCACTGACTTCCATTATCTCTTGGATGACTGCGGGCCACTGTAAAGACATGAGGCTTCTCACTTCTGGAGGAGTTATAGTGTCAACTGGCCTGCACGTTCCTCTTGCCATGGCTATTCTTGGCCAGCGTGAGAACATTCTATAGCACAGTGGGTTTGGGCCGTGCCTCATTCTCAGGTTCCTCTGCTCCCTTTTGTCGCTGACCGGCCTCCTTAGGTAACTCTTACAGGCCTCACCCTGTGCAAGATCACAACCCACATTCAGAGAAGAACCTCTGCAGATGGGCAGGTGGTGGTGGTTGGTGGTGTTTGGTACCGGATCTTCATTGGCACTCTCCAGAAAGGTATGTGGTGGCCTCAAAGAACCCCTCCTTCCTCTTGCTCATGTAATTCATGGAGTGACACATCCAAATGAGTAGGGGTGCCAGGAGAACTTGGATGTGTCTGGTATGCTCCATATTTATCCTGCACAGCTGAATAGCATCGTTTAAGAGCTATCCTACTTACAGCCTAGAACATGCAAGAAGCTGACAAGACAAAGAAAAGCAATTCATCCTCCCACTTGGGAAATGACCATCAATAGTCAGACTGACCTCGTCAACAAAGAGACGTTCATATGAGTATGTCCTGGGGACCATGTGCATCTTTTCTGGATGAGCAGGAGACACCCAAGTATATGGGTCTCCCCATGCCTGACAGACAAAGACAAAGACTCCTAAAAGCCCCCATTCCTAGGTTTGGAACATCTCACCTTTTACTACCAACCCAGGAATTCACTTCACAGAAGGAATTGCAAAGAAAGCTCATAACGCCCTAAGGATTCATCAACATCTGCAGAGTCCCAATCATCTAGAAGCAGCAGAGGTATGAAATCATCAAAGGAGAATTCTCAAAACCAGAAGGGCTGAAGGCTGGGGAACACCTGGGCTAGAGTGACCAGCCCCACCACCCCGGTTCTTGGGGTGGGACATCCAAGGGGACGCAAGTCCCGACCCTCTCCTCTAAATACTAGAACAATGGTCCTCAAACAGTGGTCCCTGGGCCACTGCTGGGCCTGTCCTGTGTTCCCCACCCTCCATGGGATAAGTGCTGAATATAGAAACTTGTAGAACAACGGCCAGGAGCATGTCCACTGACTCCAACAATGAAAAAAATGTCACTTGGGTATTAACACCTTTTCATTTCATTTTTCCAAGCATTGACTTTTGCTGTACTTTACCAAAGTGTCAGTCCATGACAGGTCAGACATTAAAGCAGCTTCACTAAACACAGCTTAGGAAGCACTGTGCTCAGGGGTTGCCCCGGGCACCAGCCGCCCTCCTCCACCATCTGCAAAACCCTAACCCTGACATGCTGAATGGCACTGGCAACCCCCCGCCAGTCCCTAATGGGGGGCACCAAGGCAATCGTTCAGGCTCTGAGAAGCCCAGCTCCTGACCAGACCCTCAGAGCCACGACATTGAGCAGGGTGGCTGTGGAGACTTGCTTGGGGCTCACTGGAAGGCGCATGTCAGATGCTGCTAATTCAAGAGGAGAAAGGTCTTCTTCCATCCTGGATCCCAAACTCTCGCTGGAAGACGTGAGCACCACCCATTAAGCAGTGTCTTACTGTACCCTTCTCTTTGTTCTCTCTCTTCATGTAAGTTCCAGAGACTCACTGTTATCTCCTTCTCCCACCTGCATGGAGTCCTCATAAGACCTACAGCTCTGTGGGACGAGTTTAAGAGTCCTTGTCTCAGGTAAATTTATATCCTGTCGAAGCTACACCTCCCTTTTGGTATGTTCCCATCTAGACTCTTCTGGAAACAGATGAACTGAGGGTGTTCTACAGTTTGGGATAATTTTGGTCACTGCACATCTTTCCATATTGACATATCATCTTTACAGTCATTCTTAAGGTCACCACAATTGCCCATTACGTGACTATCAGAATCTGGGGTGGTTTAGCACAGTGAGAAAAAGCACAGGCCTTGGAGTCGGACGGCCTCGACGACCACTTTGCCCCTGCGTGGCCGTGGGCAAACTACTGAACCTCTTCCAGTCTCAGTTTCCATATTGACAAATGAGGATGACAAACATCCCCACCTCAGTGATCGCGTACACACCACGCGCGGAAAACACTCATGACCGTGGCTCACGCCTGATACGTGTGCCACAGATATGAAGTGCTATTCGTAATAGCTACCAACCAGCAGGACCTGAATTTTACGTTACTTTCAACTTTTTGCTTTCAAATACTGAATGTGACGTAAATGTTCATTTCCACAGCTCTCTTCCAATTTTAGACGTCCCTAAAGCAGGGTCAGCAGTGGAATGACTGTGACAAGGTAAGGGCTTTTGGATGGCTCCTTACACGTCGACAACTCACACGGGGACAGCCCTGTCAGAACACAGCGTGAGGACCCGAACTCCACTGGATTGTTGCCAGCAGGGAGTGTCCACAAACATTTTTATTTGCAAATTTAAGAAAATTAAAAAAAAAAAAAAACCAATACTGCGGTTTTACGAATTGCCGTTGGGAGCCACCCACTTCTGAGCGCACAGCGAAGAGGAATGTCAGAGGCCAAGGCTTCTTACCCACGTGGCCCTTCTGTCCCTCGTCGGAGATCCTCAAAAGGAGCTCCAGGTGGGGACTGCTGATGTGTGGCATCACGATCCTGGCCAGCCGCTTCCACTGGGCCTCTGTCACCACAAACTCTGTGCCCACCTTGACTTTCAGAATGTTGAAAGCCTCTATCATTTTGTGACGTTTCAGGTACGCCAGTTTGCGAATCTCGTTCTTTAAAAAACAGAATTGTGGTTTTTAAGAGAAAGATTCCAGAAAGCCTTGTTTCTTTTCCCTAAACATGTCAAGGTAAATGACGAGCCAAAGAGAAGGCACTGAAGGGTCTATTATCAAGCAAGGTATGTAATCCCTCCCCGGCCGCAGGTAACGTAGCCAACCCGTCTACATAAACGAAACTCATCTTACCAAGTTTACAGGAGGGAGCCCGTGAAGGATAATCTGTGTGGTGAGAAACAGAACAGCAGGAGGCAGACTGGTCCCAACTCCACTCTGCCCAGGAGGAAGGGAGATTCCAGAAAGGAAGGAAATCAGATGTACTGCTGAGACACAGGGAGACCCCGGAAAGGGAGAAGATAGAGCTACTATTAAGTCAATCAAGAAAGAGAAGGGGAGGAGAAGAAAAGTCGGGGAAGTGAAACTAGGCTAGAAGTGGTCCGGAAGGAAGAGGTCCAGGGCAGGAAGGACAGCTGGGCCTGCCTGGAGCTACCATCTGGCCCGAGCACAGGGAATCATCCAGAGGAGAGCAGGCTAGACAGGCCTCCTCGGGTTACGGTCACCTGATGCCCACTCCCCCCGCTCCCTGTAAGCCTGTTACCCAATAACATCATCACTTAATTGATTATATAGCTAGACTGTAAATGTTTAAGGGATGTGGGCTGTGCCTTAATCGTCTTTGACTTCTCAGCACTTGGACTGGTGCTGGGCACCTAAAACACATTTCAGAGGTTTGCTGACTGATCCCTGTTGCAGAGGATTACCCAAAGAAACACTTGCTCGGGGTTGGGAGAGGTAGAGCGATAGTTCTGTCCAGCAGCAACAAAGAGGAGAGGCATACCAGACTCTCTGGGACAGCCTCTCTCCTCCCAGAGGGAGGAAGTTGGAGTAGGAGGGTCTCTGGAGGCCTGGCCTCTGGGGCAGGGGCAGCTCAAGCCCCCATAGTGCATAGACTCCTCAGGACTGGGACAGGCCAGGCACCTGCAAAGGCCATTTGGGCCAAATCTCAGACTCAGCCCCACCACCTGCTTCTCCTTAGCCGCAAACATTGAAGTTCTCCCTGACTTTCTTCTTGTTCCCTGGTGGCACCATCCTTATGCAATGAAAAATTCAGAACAGAACCAAAAGGATCGAGAACCAAAAGGCAATGTCTTCCCTTAAGGAAAAATCCTTTGATGAAAAGCCTGTCTGTGTACCTAGTTTCACCAAGATGAGAAAACAACCGAGCAGAGATGTGTGCAGTGGGGGGCAGGGGGAGCAGGTGATGTGGCTGAGGTATCCTGGTGGATTCTGGGCTAGAAATAGAACAGCCTCCACCCCAAGTACTCAGAAGCCTCTGCCCACCCAACAACTCCAGGAATTCTCCAAACATAAATCAAACAGGCAGGTACCAGGGCAGAAACTGTTGGCTTTAAGAAGTTTCTGCTTCTGCCGGAGAGGGGAAAAGGAGTTGGGAGCTTGGAGAATATCCCCAAATCCCATTCTTACACAAAACGTTTCAAGGAACCATGAACAAGTTCATGCCTTAAGAGCAAGGAGCAAAGCAAGGGTCTCCCACTGCTCACAATGTCCAGACACACTGTTAGACCCATCGCAAAGACCAGTAAAGAACTGCCCCACCTAGCAGAAGAGAGCAAGACACCACATGAGTCTTCAGATGGGCCAAAGCAACAAGAAAAAGGACAGCTTCCAATATTGAGCAAATGCGTTTGCCAGCCTCCCTGCCAGTGGATCCAGCACAGATGCCCAGCCCCCTGCTCCCACCCCCCTGCTCCCACCCCCCCTTCCGCTCATGCACAGTACCTTTAAGTGCTTCCTATAATTGTTGTAGACCACAGCCAGAAAGACGGACATGAAGATGTAGGTATTGATGATGATGTAGGTTATGAAGTACAGAGAATACCACCAGTTGAAGTTATAGGCAGGCATCCTGGAAGGAGAGAATTATGTGGCATGGTTTTTCATAGCCCAGGTCCCCAGTGCATAAAAGGCTGGTCTCAGGTGCCATCCCACATGGACAATCTACGCGCACAAGGCACAGCAAAACCTTCTCTCACTCTAACTGTCCCTCACATGGTGTGGTGCCATGGGGCCGCAGAGAGCCACCACCACTCCTAACGCTAAACAGCTGGCTCCAAACTTGCCTTCTGGATTTCTTAGTGCCTTATAGAGGTGGCAACTAGGACCTTGGGGATCCCCCAATCCCAGCCCCTCCCTTCACAATGAGAAAATCAAAGCCTAAAAAGGAGACCGACTTGCCCAGAACCAGAGAAGGAATCCAAGAGTGGCTTGGGCTTATACTCAGGGCTCTTCAGGGACACGAGACTGCCTTGCTGGGATGGGGGAGGGGGGGTGCAGATAATTTTCTAGCCACTCTAGGACAATGAGAAGGAAAGAGGTGTCGTTAACAATGGCACCAGGGTGAGAGGCATACATCAGGATGTGTGCTCACTCCACCTTTAATGGAAATCGGATTTCATACAGGACGGGAGGTTGGGAGCATGGCCAGCGGCCCAGGGTCTGAGGGAAAGATGCAAGAGAACACAAGGAGGGCCAGAACTGCACCTCGCCCGCGTTGTGTCCGAGCCAGGCCCAAGAGTGGGCAACAACCAGAACAAGTCAATGTGATGATCACACACAGACCTAGATGACAGAAAGCCTGCCCCTGCCCAGATGCGCAGTATGGCCTGAGTTGGGATTGACATTTGCAGTTAGAGCCCCGTCCACGCCCTGGACCCCAAGAGATGTCTACTCAGTGTAGCACTGTTTGATCATTTTACTTCCACAAACAAGGTTAATCCATAATACGAAGAAAAAAAAAAATCACGTTTTCCTCCTAAGTAAAGTCCACGTGTGGAGAATTGGCATTTTGAGGGGGAAGGCAATGACTACTCATCTTTACATTTCTTTCCTGTTTCATTTAACCAGAAAAGCACATCAAAGCTTAGGAGAACAAGCCATGATTCCTTTATAAAGATGGCTTAGTGTACAGATTCAAGACTCAAAAAAGTCCTGGAATAGAAAGTAGGCTCCAATATTTAAGAGTTGTATCTCAAGAGATGTCTCCTGTTGCTTTCAGTTTAAAAAAAAAAAAATCACCTAAATTTAGTTTTAAATAGAGAGAGGGTAGGCTATCATTAATGTAAACATTTTACATTCTTCAAAAATGTTGACGATGAATATGAATACACAGAAAATCACTACTTCTCCTCTCTCGGCCCTGCTGGTGTCAGGAGGTAGCGCCTTTAACAAAGTGAATTCTGTCATGGTAACAGGTGTCCGTGAACATGAGCAGAGACAAACGTACATGACATCAGGGCTGTTCGCAGTAGTGACCAGTACGTAGAGTTCAAACGCTATCTCCAGCATATTCGTGAAGTAGGGCAAGCCTTCCACTGTTTGAAGACCCCTAAAAAGGAACCAAAAACACAAAGTGAGAAACTCACACCCATATATAAAGCTGTGATTTCTGATACACTCCCCCCCCCCTTTCAAAAGCACTCCTGGAGTGTCTGAAAGAGGAAGATGGCATCCAGTGACAGATTCTGCCACCAATGGGCTGAACCCAAACAAGAGAATTCACAGGCAGAAACTGCCAGAGCAGTGTGCTCACCGATCCCCAAAAAGCTTCAAGGCCATAAGGGAGAATATCAGCACACTGAACATGAACAAGAGGAAGACATAGAGGATATCGGGCAGAGTGTTCCGGATGCTTCTGAAAGTTCTTCGGATCTGTGAAGACAAAAATTTTATTTCATTTCCAAGAAATCGGCTCATTTTCTGCAAACAAAAACCAAGCCCTTGCGTTATCCTAAGGTATATCTTTACCTGACGACTTTCAGGGAAGTTAATTAGGAAGACTGGCCTTAAGGCCCTTGACCATCGAACGCTGTGGATATTAACAGCTTCCAGGGAACCGTAGATAATCAAATCGATCAAGGTCAGCTGTGAGAGACACGGGACAAAACTGTCAGTGTCACCCTGCTAGAGGACACACACAGGAAGTGACAGTGGGGAACCCAAGCCTGTGGTCCCAGGGACCCTTCCCGGATTGAGTGTGCCTTAAGGATTTTAATAAATATTTCTAAAAATAAGAAAAGTAGAGAGAGATAGTCTCCATATTCCGAGGGCTCAGCAGATGCATGAAGGGAGGTCAAAACAAATGTTTCGAGCAAAGCGAGAAGAGACCGTGGGCCTTCCAGGCAAATGAGCCACGTCAGGCTGAGGAGGAGAGGGTAGTAGGTGTGCAGGGCAGGAGGCAGCTTGGGCCAGCTAGGGTGAAGAGGGCCCCATGAAACATGTTTGCAGGACTGGGGGCACTGGGGAGTCTGTGGAGCTCACAGACATTTTTGAGCAAGGGAGGGAAGTGATGGGAGATGTGCTTCCGGAGGATTCATCCAGCAGCAGCATCTAAAATGCACGTTATCAGGTGGGGATCTCAGGTTGAGGGGACCGTGGCAGTTCCCGAAAGGGATGACCAGGGCCTGGACCACGTTGTGGGAACAGAGTGTCATGCAACCAATAGACAACAACGCGTGGTCACATGAGAGACTACTGCAATAGTCCAAGTGGGGAGAATGGAAACAGGGCAAGAGGCATCCTGAGGGGCTTTGGGGAGGCCGGCCGCAAGGGAGACGAGAGAATTTTGACTAAGAGGATTAGGAACTGGGTGTTGGCACCTAAGGCACCCCCCACAAACAAACAGCTAGGGGAGTGGGGGGGCAAAGAGGAGGGGTTTTGTCCCATTCTGTTTGCGCTGACACCCATAGACACTGCTACCAAGCAGCTGGCCACAGACAAAAGAAACTCAGAAGGGAAACCGGTATGGGCTACAGCATGGGGACCCCTACCTACTAGTGATCGTGGCAGCTCTGACTTAGAGGCGTGCAGACTGAGCCTCGGGTTAATCAGGAAGAACCCTGGTTCAGGCCTGCTGGCTACCGCACCGTTATGCTAACTATAAAGTACCTTTACCCAATCACTGAAGGGGCCTCTCTGGACATTACAGCCGTGTTTCAGAATACATACCCTGCCCCTCTAGGCATAACTGCTTAGCATATACCCTCCCAGATTTCTCTGTGAATGTTATACACATTCTTTCCTTTTTCTTTTCAACAAAGTTGAGATCCAGCTCTATTGTATCTTGTTCTTTTGACTTAATGAATAATAAGCACCTCCCCTTGGTAATAGACACCATAGTTGCTTTAACACGACTTCAAAGGGCTGAGTAGGTGCACCACATTTTATATAATACATTATCTACTGTCAGGAAATAGAGTTGTTTCCAATTTTTCAGTATTATAAACAGTTCAGCCATGACCAATCTTGTGGCTAAATCTTTGAACACATCCTTCTTCCCTAAAGATAAATTCGCAGGAATGGAACTCCAGGGTGCAAGGCTTTTTGAAAGGAACGGCCACACAGCCTTCCAGAAAGCTTATTTGTCCCTTCAGTAGGGTATAAGAGGTTCTTTTTTCTCTCAGTCTTGCTAACACTGTTTCAAAGGCAAACACATGGTATTTTAGTGTTGTTTTAATATATATTTCTTAATTAGAGAAATTACACATTTTTTCATATCGACCATTATTTATTTTTTCTTCTATGAGATGCCTTCACCTATTTTCAGCACTAGTGGAGTTTCTTTTTTTCCTCTTAATTTGGAAGTGCTTTCGCTATGTTAAAATACAGCATTCACACTCCCATATTTTGCCTTATTTGCTGTTCAATCGGGATTCGCATCGCAGATGGGGTTTGCTGTGCCGAAGTCTGTCACTGTTGCTTTAACCAAGTCAAATCTATTCTGTCTTTTCGCTTCACAGTTTCTGCCTTTGACCACAAATTCTTCAGGGCACTGTAAGGAACACTCACCACTATGGTTACCATGATGCAGATGTTTTTCGTATCCTTCCAGAAAACCATTTGAGGAGTGACTTTTGCAAAATGTACAAGTCTCCCAAAGAATGCAGTCAGACAGAGTACTTCTGCTATCGAGGTAGCCTGCACGCAGAAAACAAAGACTAAACACAGCCCCCTGGCCATTTGGAGACTCAGCTTTAGCCCCCTTGTAACCGCCACAGCCCCCAAGCTCCCTTGATGTCACCCTCTGAGAATTAGCGATGTCCCTTCATTTCACTGCCAGTTGCAGGCAAATTCTTTGCTGGTGGGCATGGTTTCTTCCTCTTAAAAGGAAACCTGTCCTCGAGCCATGAATCCCGTGACCTAACAGGCAGGGCTTCCTGGGAGGGGCTGAATGAGCAGGCAGGGGACCCAGAAGCATTTCCCCAGAAAAGGGGAGGGCAAGGACAATAGACATGGGCGTCTTCTGTGCTCTCCAATTCTCACATTCACATTTAGAATAGGCATCTAGACGTTCAGTTTCCCTGATAGTAGGGTAACTCCCCAGAGATCTGTTTTGAATGCGGGTCATTCCTTAGCCATCCCTGCCACTGCTGCCCTCTGCCTGTTGTGCCTGGTCGGAGGAAAGAATGGAGGCCACTGAGCCCCAGTGCCACGTCCTGACCGCGTCCTCCATAGGTGACAGGACCCCAGTTCTGAACTCCCTACAGGCAGCTAGCTCAGTAGCCTGGGACGCAGCCCAAGCTTTCCTGTGACTGCCCTGAGGCAGTAAGTCCTCCCTAACAAGGGCACTTATCTCCATCACGGAGAGAGGAGGATGGCAGAGCAGGAAGAGTTGGGGACAGGGCAACCTGGTGTAGGCTAGGAAGACAGAAAGGTCTGGGGTGAGGGCTGGAGGAATGGATTCCCTAAGGGACGGGAAGGAAAGGGCGGCTCTGGGCCCTGAAAGCAGCAGGTGATACAGTCTTCCTACCCCCACCCCAGCCTTCATGGGTCCTGGGCACCGGCACGGGCTGCAGCCCCTTGCAAACCTTCTAGCCCTCAGCCTGTTCACCCTTGAAGGGTTCTAGAGACTCACTGTCAAGACCAGGCATACCAAATGGCCTGGGGTGATTCCAGGACAGCCCTGCTCAAGATAAGATGTGCTCGGTAACGCTGCCTCTGGGCCAAAGCCCCAGCATGACACATTGGATTCTAGAGACTGGAGGTACAGATGCTGGCTGAAGGAGCACTCTGAACCCAGGCAGCCAACCCGAAGCTGTACGTGAACACTAACACCCAGAAGGGGGAGGACTTGGGAAGAGAGGCAAGGGGCTGAGGAGACAACCCCAGGGAAGGCTCATGGCGTCCAGAGCGGGCCTTGCTAGGGAGGGACTGACTGTCTGGGTCTGTGAATGCACAGCTCTGCTTAGTCCAACTTTGTGTTTGTTTTGATAGTCCCTGGGCTACAAGTTTTCTATCCAGAGACTCCATTAATTGTGGCATCTACATCATATGGAAGTGTGTTATACCATCACTTTGATGGCCCCCAATGAACCATGATTCCAGTTTTTAGCCCTGTGCGATGTCCTCCCCTGTTGACTCAGGGCTCCAGCACCTGATGGGCTTTGGCCAACAGGACATCAGCAAGTGTCATCAAACGGAAGCTTGATGGTGCCCGTACACGAGGATGCTCCTTCCTGGATCTCCCCCTCTCCCACTGGGAGGAGCCTAAGCCCCATGCAGCAGCCGTGTAAAAGAGAGCAGGGCCCTCTGGTCCACAGCTCCAACCTGGCAAGCTCCCAGCTGATGGCCAGCAGCACCCGCCAGCCTCCAGAGATCGACAGAGCTTCCAGATATCTACTATCCCAGCTCATGACACAGGAACAGAAAATCTGCCCAGCTGGGCCCCGTTACCCACAGAATCATGGGAGGTAATAAAAGCCTGTTCTTTTATTATAACGAACTTTATCTGTTAAAGGACTAGACAGTAAATACTCTGGGACTTCCAAGTCATCCAGTCTCTGTTATACCTACTTTCAGAGGAGTACTCCTACTTTCTGCAGGAGCAGCATCAAGTTGGGAATCAACATGAATAGATCATCAATTATTACTTAGACTGATCTAGAATAGCTGGTTAATTTGATATATTACTCAAAATCATATGTGATCAGCTACTAATCACCAATAAATACTCTAGTGACTTAGGAAAGAAAAAAGCTGGAAAAGTGGCAAGTACAAGTTGCATATTCCACCATATTATGACATTGTCTACTTGCCATTTTATAGATATGCTTGGAAAATATCCTTTGTCTCTCCAGTTTATCCCTGTGTACACAGAAGACAATAGACCTTCTACTCCACTGAAAATGCTTATGAGTGAAGCATCAGCTCAGGGAATAGTCAGAATTCTTCCAGTCCCTAGCAATAAAAATAAAACCATGTTCATATTTATTGAAATTTGGGGGGGTAGGAAGAGGAATGGGGCCCAACTCATCAATGACAAAGTCTAGGTAGCCATTTTGTTTTTAATCCTTACCAAGAAAGGCAGTGGAAACAGCGCAGGTTCTTCAAACAGGGCGAGGGAAAGGTCGACACAAATAAAGAAGTAGATGGCTACTTGCATTGTCCAGTGGTTATAAAAATAGTAAAGTCTGAAGACGAAAAGAATAAAGGTGTTTATAAATAAGGAGCAGGAGTTAAACAGCACTCGAACTTCCCACTAGAAGATATGGTAGATAAAATACAAAGTATGGCTCTGGCCACATTTCCTTTCAATTCTAGGGAGCAAGGGACAGTACTGAATTGAGCACGCATTACAAAACACTAACAGAAAAAAATCAACATATTATCATATCTCAAAGCACAGTCTCTTAACAGTCTCCGGCTATGATTATACCTTCCTCATGGTGATTGTGACAATAAGAGAATCCTTTTAGAGGACTTTAAACAGTGACCAGTACAGAGTAAACCCTCAGTTAAAGTGACCTATTATTATGTGGCAGGGTAGCCTAACCAATTTAAAATGTGCATCGTCCCATCTCGACATGATAGACTCAGAGAGATCTCACAGTCACATAGTTCTCTTCCGATGGGGGGGGCAGTCCCCCCAACCTGCTTGAAGCTTCCAGGAATGAGGCGTTCATTGCTTTTGGAGGCACTGGCACTGAGCCCCGATGATAAGAAATGTTTTTTCCTTATTTTGGGCCAAATTCTTGGTCTTAGTTCAACGTTTACGGGGTGAGAGAGAAAAGGCAGGATTCTTTTTTTTTTTTTTAAGATTTTATTTATTTATTTGAGAGAGAGAGAATGAGAGATAGAGAGCACGAGAGGGAAGAGGGTCAGAGGGAGAAGCAGACTCCCTGCCGAGCAGGGAGCCCGATGTGGGACTCGATCCCGGGACTCCAGGATCATGACCTGAGCCGAAGGCAGTCGCTCAACCAACTGAGCCCGAAAAGGCAGGATTCTTATGAAAAGAACAAATGTATGGACTACATCACAAAGCAACAGAAAGAAAAAGAACAAGACTTTTCATTTAGACTCTAAGAAGACAAATCATGTCTAAGAGGAAAAACTGATATATATTTTACTTTGGATGCCCTCTCTCCTGTTCTGGATGTTCTCATTTACTCATTTACCCGTCCTTAATGTATTTATTGAATGCTTTCCCATGTGTGAGGCACCATGCTCTTATAACTTAAAAAAAAAAAAAAAGCATTGGATTTTAGGATTTACTCCAAATCTATGTGTATACCCTAGAGATTTCCCAAAAATGTTTGTGGAGATAATGTCTTCGGTTTGGGTTTAACTTCAAGACTATTAAGTACTAGAGGACAGTTTGCTTTATGTGACAGTTTAACCCTTTCATTACCTGATGGCCCGAGGAGATGTTTCAAAGGGAACATTTCTGTTGTACTGGGCATCAGAAACATAGGCACCTGCCAGGAGGAGGTCCTGGTCCTCCTTGGGAGAAAGTAAGGGAGAACATCATTCAGAAGAGGAAAGGACATTTCTCTTTTTCATATGTAAGTACAGAAAGGAACCCACCCCCAACCCACTCTTGACAGAGGTAATTAACATTATAGTACTGTATGTACATCTCCAGATCCATTGCTGGGCACTGGGAATCCTGCAGTGGGGCTGAGACATAGGCATGCTTGACTTCCTTGATTTTAAATATAGGCTCTCAGAGGAGGAAATGAAAACAAGAAAGCACTGAATAGTATATATATATACATGTCCTTAAATGGCATATTTATACTAACATATATAGGCTATATACACACAAATATATAAACACAAAATTATATTTAGGGTACTTAACGGGTGGTTAGAGTGTTTTTCAAGGGTAATTGTGACACATAAATTATTGCCTTTCTGGATGACTTTTGAAGCTAACTCCTTCTTAAGGTATGACCCCACTCTATACATACACAGAATTTTAAAATAATAAAACTGTTTTCATATGATACAAAGCTTACTTTTCTCACTCAATATATTCTGGACATTTTTTTCATGACAATATATATACACCTACCCCATTCTTTTTAATAAATGCCTGTTCCTTTAGGTAGTGTCTCCCTTTTTTTTTTCTATTTTGAACACAATTACATTGAATTTTTAAAAATATATATTACACACAGACACACATGCATAGCTTTGTGTCATATGAATGTTTTTGTAGGATAGAGTTGAACTTGTGAATGAAAGGTATTTGTGTTTTTTATTTTGATAGATACTACCAAATTGTTTCCCCCAAAGTTACGCCTTTGATATGCCTCTAAATAGTACATGAGCATCATGTTTTCCTGCTTCTCATCAACACTCATATAACTTAAAATGATTAACAATATCCAATCAGCCAAAGGGGCATCTTGAGATTTGACTTTACATCTCCTCATGACCAGTACGGCTGAGCCCCATTGGTGATGACTCACACTTCTGATTCTGTATAAATGAGATAAGCACACATACAAACAGACTAGCTATTTAGACCTTCCTATGTACTTGAGGAGGAAAACAACATGATTATCCATTCAATTACCAGAGTTACCTCCTCAAAACATAGGACATCTTCCTGTTGGAATTGGGATGGAAATTTATCATTGGTCAAGCAAGTCAATTTTGCAAACACATCTAGTATTCAGAGAGGTCAAAAGATTCCAAACTTTATACAAATATACAAAAGTATGTATCTGGAGACACAGCAGAACTGTGTTTCCTCAATTTATTTCATATTGCAACACTTTAAAAAAGTAAGTTCTATTCCATTAAAAAACACAAACATTAGTTACTAAGATAAGTCTTTTTTTTTTAAGATTTTTTTTTATTTATTTCAGAGAGAGAATGAGAGATAGAAAGCACGAGAGGGAAGAGGGTCAGAGGGAGAAGCAGACTCCCCGCTGAGCAGGAAGCCCGATGTGGGACTCGATCCCGGGACTCCAGGATCATGACCTGAGCCGAAGGCAGTCGCTTAACCAACTGAGCCACCCAGGCGCCCAAGATAAGTCTTTTAATAGACATTTCAATAAAGAAGATATACGTATGCCAAAAAGCACATAAGAAGATGCTCAACATCATTAGTCATTAGGGAAATACATATTTAAACCACAGTGAGATACCACTTCGTATCGACTATAATGGCTAAAACTAAAGACTGACCACACCAAGTGTTGACAAGGATGTAAAGCAACTGGAACTCTCACACATTGTTGGTAGGAATGGAAAAAGGTGCGTTTACTTCAGAAAACAGTTTGGTAGTTTCTTGGCAATTCTGTTCCTAAGTATTTACCAAAGAGAAAGAAAACACATGTCTACACAGACTTCACATCCAACCCAAGAACGCGGCTTACGTTAGAACACCATTCCAAAGTGGTACTTGTATGCAAATATTCATAGCAGCTCAATAGTTGAAAACCAGAAACAACCCAAATGTCCACAAATAGGTGTACGGATAAACAAAAGGTGATATATCTATACCATGAAAGGCTACCCTGCAATAAAAAGGAATGAATTACTGATAAACACAACAAAATGGATGAATCTCAAAGTAATTGTGCTGAGTGAAAGAAGCTAACTCCTATCCCCCCAAGAGAGTACCTACTACATGAGTATATAGGATATGCAAGCTAATCTACAGTGGCACAAATCAGACCAGCCACCTGGGCACGGGGAGGAAGGGATGGAGAGAGGGGTGGATGGCAAGCAGGCATGAGGAAACTTGTAGGGGTGACAGATACGTTCATTACCTTGACTGTGGCATTAATATCACGAGTGTATTCATGTACCAAGACTCACCAAACTGCACACTTTAAATAAGTATAGTTCAGTTCATATCAATTATAGTTCAATAAAGCTGTTAAAAATTGCCCAAAAAGAAAGATAAATGTTTTGATTAAAAATAGATATGGAACAACAATCTCAAAGATGAATAAACTGCTCTAAGAACCCGTCCCCTCTTGAGTCATGTGCCTTCTCAGGGCTGGTACAGCAATTCTTAAAGGCAGGTTATTAAAAACTAAGAAGCACCAGGAGCGCCTAGGTGGCTCAGTCAGTTCAGCATCTGACTCTTGATTTCGGCTCAGGTCATGATATCAGGGTCATGGGATGGAGCCCCACGTTGGGCTCCGCGCTCAGCGCAGAGTCTGCCTAAGGTTCTCTCTCTCTCCCTCTGCACCTCCCCCTGCTCGTGCTCTAAATAATAAATTAAATAAATAAATAAATAAATAAATAAATAAATAAATAAATAAAATCTTTTAAAAACTGGGCGCCTGGGTGGCTCAGTCGTTAAGCGTCTGCCTTCGGTTCAGGTCATGATCCCAGGGTCCTGGGATCGAGCCCCGCATCGGGCTCCCTGCTCTGTGGGAAGCCTGCTTCTCCCTCTCC